TGGGAGGCTATCTTTACGGCTCGCCGTAAAAATAGCCACTGCGTTTTTCTATTCTCACCCCGGATGAGAATAGCCACTTCCCTTTGTTCCTTCAGATTTCAGGGTGGTCGCTTGTTTCGGAATTCCTCCCAACCCCACGCACCCCCCACCCCCCCAAAAAAAAAGTTCCTCTGGACCTTAAGCTAAAGAGATTCATTAGATCTTCTAATTTTCACGTGACTCACTTCAATGTGACCCATACTCAAGCTCACAGGCCTTGTCATTGTCTCACACACACAACCATAACATTGAAATGAACACCCAGGGCCAGACTCAGACCCAGGCAGCCACCCTAATTGGCCTAATCTAGAATTTCAACCCTCCACTATACAAAAAGGTATCAATGATTTGACAATCACATTTCACAATGGCATTGCTGTTCTAAAGATTGAATTTCTTGAAATTTTTCAACTGAAACTTCAAAATCTAATGTCAACTAAACAAGTCTTGGGATTTCACCTACCCAGCCTGTCCACCATTTTGGGTTGTTACCATTAGCCAGATAATTTATTTCCACCTCTTGTGTTATTAGAAATACTGAAAACGCCTTGGCCTACAAAGCCTATTTTGAATTGTTGAGTTCCCTCAGGGAGTATTTTCTTGTTCCCGGAATTCCAATAACAAACATTGAAAGACAAGGTTCAGTTTTTCAAATTTAATCGAAATCATTGTAATGCTATCCCTTTAGAATCGTAATAATCAAATATGAGCTTGGCTTAGGCCTGTGGAGAAAAGTTTCAGGTTGTTCTGGAGGGGGTTTTATCTCTGTAGGACAATTTGGCATATCGGTAAAGTTCAACTGTTGTTTGATGTTGTTGCCGGTGTTCATTTCTTTCTCAACGTTGTAGTGTCGTTGATAATTTTAATGTCTCTAAAGAACTGAAAGTCAAAGACATGGCTACAGTAGAAGAACTCTATAAAGCTTTTGGTGTTATTGCGGATGCAAAGGATAAAGCAGGAGAGGTACTGTCACTTGTTGTCATGAAATATACACGTTTGTGTCTATTGTGACCCTATTATCGATACTGATGCCCTGACCCTGCCAGGCCAAAGAAGCCCCTAGCCTTCACTGATGAGCTCATTCATTCATCACTCACAGCAATGTCATACTTCATAAGTTCTGGGGAAAAGTTCCTTACGATCCTTACGATTTAGCGTGATAAAATTATTCTACTTTTGAGAAGGGAAGTGGGTATCCTCACCCGGTGTGAATAAAGCCAATAGCCAATAAAAATCATAAATGGAAGTGGCTAGCG